GCAAGTGGTGCACCTGGGGTCCAGTAGTTCGCATCAGAAGGCACGCGGTCTGCTCACTTTTTGGACTACAGCCGTAGAAGAGGACACGGACCCGTCCCTCTCTTTAAGGCTGTATTCTAAGTCAGCGCGCCCCAATGTGGCGGTGTCTAAGGACCGCGCGTTGAAGTTGTCCGTCACCGCGGGCGCACCACGTCCCGTCACCCAACATTCAGGCTACGGTCCCGACGCGATGTGCCACAATAGGGCTGGTCTTGGCGTACGTCGGGGTGTGGCTCAGCCGCTGCCATTGGGGTATGCCGATTCAGGGCAGGGTCAGCCCTCAGCGGTTTTCCTGACGAGAGTGGAGCAGACAGGGTATAATCCATGGGGAAAACTATGGTAAAGTTTTATGCGTTCTGCAGGCAGGACATAAGCAGCCTCCCCCATGGCACCGGCCCCCCCACCACCCCCCCCCACCCGCCACCTCCCCCCCCCCCCCGCTCGACGGCATTTTTGGGAGAAAAGTGGGCGGAGTTTGGTGAGTTGGAGGTGGTAGCGGAGAGAATTAAGTACTAATATGAGACGATGAATGGTGGTGCGAGAGTGTCGAAAAAGGGGGTCGTATCAAATCCCCTTGGGGGGAGGGGTCCGTAAAAAATCCTCTCTCGAAAAGTAACACGATAAGGTTGACCCTCCCACGCTTAAAACACAACCACAACCCCTCGATAGACCCGTCGCGCTGCAACAAGGCCGGCCCAGCAAGATAACAGCGTGTACCGGTAGTCGATTTCGCTCAACTACTATATGATTAGAATGTGCCGTATTTACATCCTGCATCGCACATAGCGCGCTACGACTCGTCCACCCGAACGCATATGTCTTCTTGCCAGCGCGACCGCACTTCCTGTCTAACCCCAGGCTGCCTGCTCAAACGCCCCTAACACCAGTGTCGTTGAATGACGTCATCAACCCACCACCCCCCTTATCGGCCCTAGTGATGCCTACCTTCTAGCCCAGAGGCCTACGTCTCATGATACACATGGTGAGACAGACGCTGCCCACATCCATGAACTTGTAACAATCTCTGACGAAGATCAAACGGGACGCAGCCATCACCCCAATCCCCTACAGCACACTGGACACAGCACCCACAGTCGTACACATTAGTGGCGCACATCTCTGCAGTGGCAAACTGGCCACCATCAGAACACCCCACTCCCAGCTCCGCCCGCCTCACCAACCCGCTCGCCCAATAGAACATAGGCATCATAAACCCTGGCAAATCAAGTAGATTAGCACTTGTCTTTCGGTTAGGGCCCCGGCCAACCTCCCACCTCAGAAACTGTCTATTTCGGTTGCTCGCCTAACGATTCCTCAATACGACTTCGAAGATAACTGCCCTAACCCCATGACTTCATCACCCACCTACGAAGCATGGCCAACACGACACCCCAACCAATACCCGTGATGGCAGCACAACGTGCGTAGACAAATGTTTTAACCCAGCAACTCACAGACTCCGTGCCGCCTCCGCCGCCCGATAAATACGACCAAACTCCCCCCGGTACACCGTGTCCTGCTCCGCGGCACCGCATCCCTTTTCAACATTCGTCTCGCGCTCTCCTCGCAGAAATATGTGGTCTATCGCGCAACTGATCACCTCAACTCAACCCAAGACCAACCCCTCCGCGCTTGCCACCCAGAATCCCAAAACTTTTGAAGCCCCTTCGTTCTTAGCAATATTCACGACGCGCATCCCATCTTTCCACTTTCCGGTCGCGTGGGACGGAACGCGATTTTGTGGGCGCCGTCGTCCCCTCCTCACATTCCCGCTGGATTTTGCTTTTAAATTAAGGAAATATGAATTCACGAACAAATGTCGTGTTGTGCCATGTCCCAATCGCGTAAGAGATTATCTATATAGTAATAGTAGATTTTCGATCAAAACGAACGATAGTCGTGAAACGCCTAAGAGAGCCTTTATTCACATTCCATGTAAGGAACTTTAAAAGCATTTTAAACTCGATTACTAGGCTTACTTACCTAATCTTTCATTCCTAGCCGCCCCGGCAAGCGATTATCACTGAAGCCGCATATGGGCGGCCATCGCGTGACGTGTTAGAGGTGTACGCGTACGCTACGTACGGTCCCCCCCTGTACATTAGCTTCCTGTTCGCTATTTGTGTCCTTTTACATATTTTCTACTGCCCATGCCACGACTGTATGGGCGCATCCCCATCCAACGGTGGAATGACGCTGGCGCGCAGTAGGACGCTCCCCGCGCGCCTCTTTCGTACCCGCTCAGAGGATGGGGCATCCGAGGCAACATTGAATTTTTCTCATTGAATGAAGCAACTCGCAACATCTTTTTTTCTTGATTTCAGGATGGTTGGGATCCGTTTAGAGACTTCTTTTTCAGAATAGAGTTTTTTCCGATCCTCCAACACACCCGTTTTTTTTACACTCACACACTAAACCGAGCAGACGCGTCGGGATACGAAGTGCTCTTCTTTGAAAAGGTTGATATTTTCTTCCAGAAATCGTCCTCGTGGGATGGGATGACAAAAATTCAGAACGTCAAGTTGTTTTCTTGACAAAGGTAGGCTGAATATTGAATGATCCAATTCTTAAAAAATCGCGCCCCGCTTGTCTCGCCTCTTTCCTCTTTTTTGTCGCCATACGGCGAATTTCCGAACATTCCAAACACTCATAACTCTTCTTGCATGGACCACCTTTTTGCTGTCGCGATCATCGGCGACTTTCTATGCGCTGCTAGTTATTCCTTCATCTCCGATGGAGATTTACTTGTTGTATATGTTCGGCGTATTTAGCCCTCTGAGATCTCCTCAAGAGCGCTTTTTGCTAGATCGTTGTTGTTGAACCACCACGAGGAAACCAGTTTGGTGCATCGGGCCCAAATCACTGTCAACTACTTTTCTAGACTGAGAAAAATCCTGGTTCGTGAACCAGTCAGCTTCAGCCGGGAAACCTGATCCAAGTGGCCTGCTGAGGGTCCCCATAAAAGAAACGATGGAACCAGTCAATATACGAAAACCAATTAAAGTAGCGTAATTAACCTAATCGCCAATAGCAAAGTTTTACGAAAGTACACGAACCGCGTAGAACTTGCACAAGAAGCGAAGAACATACAGCAACCCACTGCATGCCCGATAAGACATCATCAAGGGCAGTATCTCGCAGATCACCGTCTCTGCCAAGAAACTATGTTGCAGTCCCTAAGTCGAAAAATGAAAGGTGACTAGCGACACTATCAAAAACAAGGATTGACCGGAAAGCATTCTGGCGAAGAACTGAAAAAGTTTGAAGGAAAGGCCAAATACTCTTCAGTGTTGATAAGCGACTGGAATGACCATGTGTTGAACACTCGCACTGCTGAGGCTCGCAGCTAACGAACGAAACTTGCTCGAAACCTAGGAAAATTTCCCCGCAGGTGCGCAAGGCCCCTTCGAGAACAGATCGCACAACTGTCAGTAAGCAGGCCCGAGATACACAAGTGCAACCCAATTCTGCCCGAGCACTGAGCAACTGTCAGGCATGATATCACCTCCAAAAATAAACCTACAAAAATGCTATGGAAATGATCAAGAATTTCCTGAATTGCACATGCTCAATGCTAATTAGAAACTAGAAGACTAGCGCTTTCAATCATGTGCCTGACATTTATCCAAAGTCACTCACTCAAAAAATAGTCCCGTTACGTTTTAGTGGTTTGTGGTCCGATTTTTAAGAAGGCGCGAGTTTTCAACATTCAAACGTTCATAACGTTGTTTATAATCAACTTTTTGCAGAAGTTCAAAGCCAGTTAGAAAATAGAAGATCAGCGCTTTCAAACAACATTTATCCAAAGACCATCCTCTCGAAAAATAGCCCCGTTGTTCCGTTTTTCCCCCTTTGATTTTTTCAAGCCATTTTCCTGAAACGCGACTTTGCAATCCTGAAACATCCACAATTCCCTTCAAAAATCATATAATGAGCAGTGGCAAAAAGTGTTGACTTTCGCATGAAAAGTGCTTCGCAACTTATGCCATTTTCCTTTGAAGCTCTCTTCTGTCCGAATTTCTGAGGTGGTCCCAAGAAGTCAATTCAGCAATTCTAACTTTCTTTCATTTAGATTTGTTGTGAAATCAGCAAGATCCTTTTGAGGAAGTTTGTCTGCTTATGTCCGCTGACAGATAAGGCGTTTTGAAGTGAAGAGTATTGCTCGTGGTCCGCCGTGCACCTGTCTGCGTATGGCAGTCGCACTAGCATTTGAAAGTATTCCACCTGGAGACAGTGATAGTATCACGGTTGTAGTAGTGTTGCACTGTCACATGAAATCCTGTCTTCTCCATGCATTTCACCGCGGGTCTGTGTATACGACCCCCTCCCCATTCGTTCTGCCAAATACGACCCCCTCGCTGTTCTTTGCGCAACGGGCGGTTGAGCCTGACTCAGACCCATCAGAAGAGCGCACACAGATAAGGGACTAGGTTTAATGACTCTATCATTGATTGCCATAGATTTTGTTGCTCGCGATGCACGGCGTATACCCTTGTCATAGATTTGAGTGGGAAAATTTGATCGCTGACTGTACCCTGATTCGATTCGTTCGAATATAAATTACGATTTTCTTCATGAAGGCAAAAGACCGACATCACTTTTATTCAACAATATATTCTTTTATACAATTTTCATGTGCATGATGTGACCTTGATATACTGAAAGACTCCATATGTTACAAGCCGATAGTTTCAAATTATCGTATTGACGAAAAAAACATCATATAAAATACCCAGTACAGGCACAGTATGGAAAAGGGAGAGATCGTCATATAAAGGATGATGAATTTACATATCCATAAGAGTAAGTAATGCAGTTACGTCGTAATGAGCTATACGAATACCAGGTGAGAACGTGTTTCTCGTGAAGGAAGCAAAACAAAAAATTCGTTTTGAGAAATCGATAGAGCAAATCGAACGAAAATGCGAAAACAGTACAGAAGACCGGGTTTGGTACCAGAGCTAGACTTGGATTTCCTCGAGTGTGGGCGCGTTTCCTGCAGAAGCCAGACTGCCTCGTGATGGATGTAATGACAGCACTGCTCGGCCATGGCGTGGACAAGATGGCGACACTCCAGCCCGTACAGTCTTGTGCGACGCGGACAGCAACGGCTCCTGCATTTGAGAATCTTCAAATCACAGACATTAGACTTTTTTCGACAGCTTCACAAATAATGGAATAGCATTCGAGATTGCAGTGGTCGCACTGAAAATGTGGGTGGGAGATTCTAGATAGATCATAGGCGGTAAACGAATCATAGTGCTTCATGGGTGTGGTTCATTAGAACAGAAAGCGATTTTGCGAAACATTATTCGTTGCGGGAATCTCGGGTCCATCTGATGATTCGCTGTGCGAACCTCGGATCCACTGATGATCAGCGGCGGACCTGAGGTTCTCGCAGCGGAGAATGTTTCGCACTGCAAAGCGCGAAAAAGTCGCTTTCTGTCTTAATGAACCACACCCGTGCTTCAGTCTTCGTCTGGAGGCAGGGCAGCCGAAATAAAATCCTTTAAATCGACATTAGTAATTTAAATGGAATCCTCTTCGGCGCTACTTCTGCGCTCAAAGTAATTAAACAAAGGTTACATGACTCCAACTGACTCATTCGCCAATAGACACAACATGATTGAGTCTGACTTAGTGCCCGGCTGCTTCCTCCCTTTTCCATATGCCCCCTCTTTTCAATTGTCTTATATTGAATTCCGGTGTTCTACTCAATTTGACAGGATAAGGTGAGAGAAACAAAGGAATGATTCATACACATGACATCCACACAGACGACGTGAAACAGTGACACATGCCTGTTCCTGAAATGAATGCCTTGGCATGACATTCGTGCCGACAGAATCCGCTGCGCCGCTGCTCCCTAACGGCGCCGGAGCGAACATCGGTCTTTCGAACATGTCGTCGTTCATCGTAACAGCGTGCATTGCTGATGAACTGAGCGTAATTGGAGGCGGTGGAGGTGGCATTAGTGAAAGCTGAACTCAATAAATCAGGTTAGTATAGGAATATGAGCATTCAGAAACAGGTTAGTGCAATGGGTTATAATGTTTCAAAGATAGGTCCATACACCATGATTTGGTTAGCTCACTGCACTGTAAGCGTTAATAGCGATGCCTTTATCCTTCTTACAAATCTGGTACCAACTGACAGTGGAAGGATAAGAAGCTTGGTTTCAATTTTATTGCATGCTTCCTTGCATGATCTACTGTTGTGTCAATGTCAATGTTGTGCCTTTTTTGTCTCTTCCCGTGCGTTTATTCCATCAATCTCAACTCAGTGACGAGCTGCGAGAATTGGCAAATAACAAGGGTTCGTCTAAGGAAAGAGCGGCACGATTCGTGCATCCTCCTTCTTTCCGACTAATTTCGTCTACCTTGGCTTTTTCTATCTTGATTTGCCTAGACCGAAATCTATCTAGGATCTGATTCCTAACCATGATGTGAAGCGGCCGGTGCCCATGATTTTATACGAAATGACCCCGCACCCACCACTCCCCTGTTCTTGCTGAGGGTACATGGTTAGTTTTTCCAAAATAGTAATGCGGGTTCCGCAGGGAAATATAGGTGGGTAGGCTAATATAATGAAGTGTAATACGCTTTGTCGGGGTCAAAAACGCACGCAGAATGGCGTGATTTATTCTGACATGATGTTTCGAAGGACTGTGAAGTTTTTCCCTCCTGCCGTTCCCGGTTCTATTGCAGTATCGATTATCAAAATGATGATGTCCAGATTCCGGAAGCGTGCTGTTGGAACATCGATAGGAATTTGTGTCAAAAATATTTACAGGGAGCGTACAGAAGACCACTCAACGAGTCGATACCCGGAGGATCTCTTGCCTGTAAGCCGGACATCACACCGGCTATTTCTCGATAACTGTTTAACGCAATCGGCATGGCATGTTGCCGGGCTGGCCGTATTATACCGAAGTTCTTACCCGCATAAATTCATGCGTTATTGGGTAAGCGGTAACGTTTCCAAATAGGTAAGTTCCGACAGGGAAAATATAGGTCGGTAAGGCCTAATGTAATTGACAGTGTTATACGCTTGTTTGTTCTCAAAACACCGACATCACAAGACTTGCGTGAATATCTGACTGATTACTTCGAGGAACTGTGAAGGCTTTTCCTCCCTCCATTCCTCGGTTTGCATGCTATCATTATCAAAAATGATCCAGACTTCACGGAGGTGTCTGCTGGCAAACATGATATGGAAATGATGTCAAAATATTTCAAGCTAGCGTACCCAGAAGACCAACCTGCAACCGAGTCCTCCCGAGGAGTTCTTGCCTGTAAGCCGGCACATCACCACGCCTAATTCCTCCTATAACTGTTTAAGAACGTTCCAGCAGGGTGGGCGTGGTCGGAAACGGCTGCAATCCCCTCGGCCGATTCCCACTTCGGAGCTGTTAGCCTAGTCAAGACACCTAGTCAAGAACGTGAAAAGTGTGACTGAACAAAAACTCGCCTTGGAAAGCCGCTAGGGAGGAAGCTGATGTGGGCGTGGTCGGAATCGGCCGAGGGGATTGCTGTTGTTTCCGATCACGCCCACCTGGGCCTGTTGCTTTAAGAGCATTGTTCAGAAAATATGGAGAGCAAATCTAGATCTGCGTCTCGAGACAAACGCCAAGCAGCACACCTCATTCTAAATGGCTGGAGGGATATGTCGACCTCAGCCGGCTAGGACAGTGCGTATCATAAGACGAACCTCTGGCAGTACCACAGCTGACTTTCACAGAGTTCCCGACAGACATGCTTCTAACCTTCCAGATCGACATAGCGAGAACCTACCTTTGCCAGCTTTCACGTATATGAAGGATGGGCATTTTTTCAACAGCTGTACATTTCTTTGGCCGTAGTAAAAGTATAGACGCACCTCGGAAGTTTAACCCAGTTATTGTGAAAATAAGCACATGACAACTTCGTAATTGAAAAACGAATTCTCCTTCTTCGGGACGTGTTGGAAGAGGTAGTATTATAGATGACGATGTAGCACCTTTTGGTAATCCGACGAGTTCATATGAGTGGAGGGAAGGCGACCCCAAGCTTCCCATTCTGGTGGAATCGTCCCCGAAACATTACGCTACCTCCATCCAAATAACGTCTACTAACGTACTTTGGTTTCCTGCAGGGATCCGTCCAGTCACATGCATTTCTACAGAGCCGTACAAATTGAACTTTTCTCACTCATATCACCTAAACAAGAAATTTTAACTTAGAGAGCTTTAAAAGGAGGAGACGTTTTTTCGACCGATTTGTTGCCACGCCCGTTATGTGTAACTAAGATCAGGCCTCCTCGTGGGCGTCGGTGAGTCGAGAAACTTTCATATCGCCATACTGGACAATGGACCCGGTAAGGTGGCTCGATGTCTACTGATGCCGATGGTAGAGTTGATAACGAGGCGTCCAATCGCACGTCCGTGTTGTGGAGTTAACTTCTTCGACCTCTCAGATCTTTTTTTTTTCACACGATCCTGAGTCACGCAAAAATCAGTCGATACGTCTTGGTAGACCCCTCAGCCTCTCAGCATTTTGACGATTGCTCAGACCTGCTGCGCGCGGGGCGCAAACCTGTGCCTACTCGGCTTCCGAAAAATTTGGACCTCGTGGCATTTTGCCGTATTGGGCAGTGTACTCAAGGCAAGTTGTCTGTAGTGTTAGAGCCGCTCATTTTACCACGTTTATGGGATGCGTTTACACTTTTAATACAGCCAAAGTAATGTCATCTGTTGAAAGAAGGCCGAATTCTTTTCAGTTCACGTGAAAGCTGTAAACGTAGCTTTTCGTGCATGCTGGTTCAGGTGGTGATAAGCGTGTTTGCCGGGAACTTCTATACAAGTCAGCCGTGATACTTCCAAGGGGTGTCTATGCTTACGATACACACTGGATTAACCTTAGGCCAGGATTTGCTCCGAGCAGGTGCCGAAGACAAAGGTGGTGTGGCCTAAGCAGATGACGTAACGCGCACGTGAATGGACTTAGTGTTGAAAGAGGGCGGGGCGAGAATCCCCTTGTAAGAAGAAATTGAAGGTACTTGATTACTGAAGTCCCCAGTGACGTGCAAGACAGCTAACTGTGAGCCCAAATCTCATCCGTCTGCCACGCACTTCGCTTTTTGCAAGGGCCGAATTTGAATTAACTGAATTTAATCCAGTACAACATCAAAGGCAGAACAACTTACCGGTGAATTGAGATTGTTGTATTGGTCTGGGACTGCGGCCTGATTTGAGGCGTAGGTCTGGTACTGCAGTTGCAACTTCTTCTTCGATCGCTTATTCTTGTCGCACTAAACTTGTTCAGTTGTAAAAGCAACTGCTCTATCGAACAGTGCGGGTGGATGTCTCAGTTCCAAAATTACCTGGCGATAAAGTCCAAAAAACACGCAGATATTCAAAAACAGAAGGCCACATCCCACAGCTACCGTGACTGACAACATGGTACTGTACTGACTGGTAGTGACAGCCGAAGTGTCGAAGGGTGGTGATGGAGTAACCGAAGGTGGTTTCACTGTAACATACATTACTTCTGCTTCATATTGCATCAAAGCATTCTACATTTGGGAGCTCATCAAAGCATACTTTCTAAAACCTATGCCTTTTACTGAGCAGATTGCAGAGCTGTTGGTTCTCGAACCCACTCTGTAAGTGGCACAGCGGACATTGATAAAAAAAATTGCAACACTGGGTGTATCAGAAAGTCGCAACAGCACCGGCGTGGAGATTTTGGTGTTGTAGGGCCTCGAACGACCAATATATGCCCTCAGGCAATAACAAAGACGATGGATCAAGACGCTTCGCACGATGACTAACAGGGTCTCCCAGAAATATTGCACCACATTTTACGCCTAAATTCTTTGTGCTTTTCGTCCAAGGCTGGCATATCTTTCATGTCACATCTCTTATGAATAACCTTGCCAAATTCCACGGCTTACGTTAAGTCTACATCTCAGGCATCCAACTTCGATACTGGACCTAATCTGTAACACAACTATGTCGGACATCCTGTAATAAACATCGCACTTCTTTGGAATCTTAAGCGCTCCGCGGCCCACCGCGCCCTAAAGAGAAGAGCCATAGTTTGTTTTCGATACGGTCATCCTCTAAGTTCTGTCATCTCGGATCTCACAAGGAATGGTCAATTGGTCGGTTCGGCCATTTGTAAAGGTGTGGTCGATGCACGCGCCTTGCGACGCTGAGCTCGAATCCTTTTCGGTTTTTGCGAACGATTTTCTGAACGAAGTTATGAGAGATTCTTCTCACTGTGGCTATGTCACTGTGGCGCTCTCTACATCCCCCTATCCCACTTGGCTCACATGAGAAGAGCCGCAGAGGTAGCGCTCCTGCTTCGTAGGAATGAGGTCAAGTGTTTGAATCCTTGTCCATAACAAGCCTTTGCATTTTTTCAAGGCAATTGGTTATTTTGTTATCGTTCTGTTTGTTCGTTCAGTTTTTACGCGAGCCAAGTGGGGTAGGGAGATGTAGAGGGCGCCATAGAGAGATAGCCTCAGTGAGAAGAATCCCTCATAACTTCGTTCAGAGGATCGTTCGGCAAAAACCGAAAACGGATTTGGGCTCAGCGTCGCAAGACACCTCACTGCAAATTGCTAGACCGACCAATTGACCATTCCTTGTCAGGAAAAGCGTGACGAGGCGGATCAGCATCAATGCCCGAGATGGCTTGAGAAATGACCGGAATGCTGAAGTTTCGAACACATGTTATCACGTAGAGAGTGGTCAGAAACTACTATTCGAAACGCATCGAAAGCTGCATTAGTGAGATGGCTCAATCGGAGCAGAGGCAAAAGTGTGATGAGCTGGTGCCAAGGTCCGAAAATGTGATTACGTGAGCACAGTTTCATCGACGACAAAAATCGCACTGTGAAGCGAAGCCACAATTTTCAAGCTCGAGGGTGATTGCGTGAGGTCCTGAGGGTCAAAGAAAGAGAAAGAAATATGCCCGACAAGCAGCAGCTAGACTTTATAAGGCCTGGACATTGCGTGTTTCCGCATGTCATATTGATAAGACATTTTTCTTTTTTCTCCATTTTATTCTCTATCTTGTACTGCCTGTACTCACTGCATTTCAGGAGAACTTGGACCTCTGCTTTTTTAAAGATCTCAATCGAAGAAGTCAAAGTAATTTTATCAAGTTCACTTCTATGAGTTGAATTCGAAGTGTTGTGCAGGCAGCCTGATAGCGTTGTGAGAGACTAAGGATGTTCCAACAAATGCACACTGCATCAATGGCTCCGAAGTTTTCAGTGTAGGGAATTCTACATATATCTGAAAAGAGAGGGTAACGGGCGTCATTTGTTGACGACAACCTTCTAAAGACTCGGCGGAAGGAGATCCCCAAACAAGTATACGGCCGGCAGCATATTCAAAACTACGGAAGCCTGAAGGTACTTGGGAAGGTAAGAAAACCGAACAAATGGGAGCTGCATGAGCTGATTGAACCGCGACTGACCAACAAAGTCACCCTACAGAGATCTCGCCACAACAGGTTTTACTTTAAAAAAAAAGTGTACACTTTTAGAACATTTGGTAGAAATCTAGGCAAAGACGAACACCAAAAACGTTTTCTAAAGCAGAAATTCTACAAGGCGACGACTATGCTGATGGTTCGTGGTTTTTTGCGGTAGTGATGCATTATAGCTTTCTGGAGTCAGGTGATCTTGATACAGCCCAAAGTCTGTCCATCACATCAACGTGGTGCATCGGGAACAGCTAGGTCTGCATCAGGAGAAGGAAAGAACCGCTCTCTATGTCGACGCCGAGTCACACGTCGCACACAAGGACCTCGCAAGAGAGGAACGAGTCGACCTATCTAGCTCTGCTTCACTCAATGAAATCAAAGGATCTCTTCCTTACCAGCTCCCCCTTATTCAGCCATCTCAACAGCTTCTTGGGCAGAAAATGGTTTGAAAACCGATACATGGTGAGAAAGAGCTTCGACGATTTCCGCACCTCCAAAGCCTCTATATTTTGAGTTCGTGCATTGATTCGGCCTGTCCCATGTTAGGGAAGATAAGCAGTTTCCAATAGTTTTTTAATGACCGAAAATTTTGACTTCGAGCTGAGATGTGTTGCTTTGAAGACCACATTACTTTCTCGAAGAGCTAATGCATTGATAAGGCGTTATGTTCTTTACAAAAAGACGTTGCTTTTGAAGAAGAAGCGAAAAATGTATGGCCGCTGTTATGTCAGTCTTCCTGATCTCAGATCTCTTGTTCCTAGATCAACGTGTTCAACCATCCTCTGGGTGCGGTGCACGGGAACAGAGCCTGCATCAAACACTGCATCCACACAGATGAACAGAAGCCTTTTCGCTGCAAAGTTAAGAAGAGAAGCCTTAGGGCCCCATTCTATAGCAATTCACCTCCCTTAAGTTGTCAGATCCTAACCTTTTTTTCCCGATTTCCTGGAGTCTTTGGAAGCGAGTTGTAATGCTTCCTGGATAACTTCGCCCATTTTAGCACACGCTCCCACCTATGGTATTGACTTTATCCCCGTCGTCAGACTCTATTCATTTTTTTCCTTTCTCCGGGACCGCTTGGAAGCGAAATGAATTTCCGTGGTGAGCTCCTCCCAATTCGGCGCGCGCCATGCTTGTCGGTAGCGGGTGACTTCCGTTCCTTTGCCAGAGCTTGTCCACTTTTTTCCTGGTCTCCAAATCTTCTTGGAACCGAATTGTAATGCTTCGTGGGTAACTCCGCCCAATTTTGAGCATTTTCCACCTACCAGTAGCGGTTGACCTCATTTCTTTTGCCGACCTCGATCCACCTTTTTCCCGGTCCTGTGGACTTCTTAGAACAGAGTCACAAGTTTGATAGCAAACTCTGCCTATTTTTTTCGCGCGCCACGCCCATGGCTAAGAATTAACTTTCTCTCCTTCTCTGGTCTCTGTCCACCTTTTCCCACTCTCTAAGACTTCTGAGACAGAATTATGAGGACTTGTAGGACACGTTGTCTACTTCAGGACACTTTCCGCCCACGTAAACGGGCCTTCGCTCATGTATGCTGGGAACACCTTAGGCACTGCTTCCCTACACCTATATTTTCTGCGCTGTGGGAATTCTCCAAACCGAGTTATGAATGTGTTCATCAAAGACCTCTTTCTTAGAGAACGGCCCGCTCATCAAAGTTGGATTTCGCTAACCCGAGCTCGCTAGCATGCACATCTTTACACACTTTGTCCCAGTTCTAAGGCTGCTTTGAAATTGAAGTTTCAAATCTCGGTCGTCAGTGCCGCACGTTCTGATGTACGCCACGCCCACTGTGGGCGGGGCTCCGTCTGACTGATGTATGTTTTGCACTTCTAGATACATGGCTCACCCATCCCAAACTTGACCCAGACCCTGTAGGTTGCTGTTCACTAAGTATCGAATTTCGTGACAGACGAACAAACGAACACACACAGATAGACAGACTTAGCGCATTATATGCAGTAAGGATACTTTTTATCTCTCTCAATATGCAAATGTACTGCTAAAGACTACATAAGTTCCTGAAGATATATGATTTCGAGGTAAGCTACAAATTAAGAAAATGGTGCATAGTTTATGGAACACCCTGTAGTTTTCGCTCACCCGCAATCGTGATCTGACGACCAGCCGTCCAGTCGTGCTACAGCAATGTATCAAAGAAAAAACATGGAAAGATACAGAAAATCGCCGAAACTTACTTGTTGTGGTTTTCTTTATGTTTTCCGGTGGAGGTGACGGTGGCAGTGGTGGAGCTGGGAAAGGATGATTCGCATACGGGGCGAATGACCTTACCCGACCAAAAAATGAGTCCTTTCGAAAGTGATCCGGCAACAAGTGATGTTCCTAAGAGAAACTCAGGCACATCCGCACTTATATATCTAGCTGAGAGCATTTATCTGAGTCTCGAAACTGAATTACACTCGGAGGGCTTGACTAAGATCCAAATAACGAGCTACACGATAAAAGAGAAAAATCGGATTTCTTTCAAATATTGGAAGGCTCATAAAAGAACTCACCTCGGGTACATCTCCACCTTCCTTTCCGGCAGCATGAAGTGCTGGAACCAAGCTAGTCCAAAAACCCACTCGAGCATTTCGATAGTAGTTCTTCACGCGTGGTCGATCAGCTGCAGTAGAATTCTCTGGCAGCCTTATCACCATTCCTTTTCAAATACGGAGGAATAACATTAAATAATCCTCACTAAATTTCAAGATACGTTCTGCGGTTAGGCTGATCGAACTGAGGCCAAGCTGTAGAGTGAAACGCGTCGCCCATGGGGAACGATTTCTGCATTGACGCAGGCTTCGACGGATCACTGAACGTTATCTCAACTTTAAGGTGATTTTTGTTGTGTTCATACCCATTCAATTTAGTATTTCTAATATCATTGATGGTTACTTGATACTTCATTTTCAATAAAGTACATAACCATTGAACGAAAAAGTAGACATACCCTGACTTGACAAAATTCGCTACGTAATGCATCATGACCTGCGAAATCCCTCGATCTTCCGCGCTGAAGCCGGCGTAGAGCTAAAAATATCGTACACCACATACTGCCTTCATTTTCATGCCCAAATGTGGAGAACTCGAAGTATACTCAAAAATATGCTCCTTTCACCTTTTCTTCACTATCGCCACTGGCGAGCGGATAACCAAAGATATACGGTATGTGATCACCCGTTAGCGACCCTCTCAAGCCTGAGTTCGGTTGCTCGTTCATCCATGAACGAGTTTCGTGTCCAAATACGAACCTAAACGTTCCTAATTGAATACTTTGATAGGGTCTAGTCTAGGATAGTGGAGGTCTACTGAAAGTTTTATTGTTGTAGCATAACAAATGAAAAAACCCAGGACATTTATTGATTTCACCATAGATGCGCCGGGCACTCGGCTTTGCTCAAATTCGTCCAAAATTTTACTGTAAATTTAGCAGATTTAGTGCTTTGCGGGAAGCTAGAAATGCACTGCGTTTCAACCTCCCTCGTAAGTATGGTACCAATAAAGCAATTCTCGCAGCCCAAACGCTCTCCCTTCCTTCTCCGAGCACAACCCCAATGGTTCATATTGAGTGTACGTAACCAATATTTAAATTCATTCGACTTACATAAATGTGCTTGCCTCCTTCCGCACTTCATCAGCACTATGCATACGAAGTGTTTCAATTAAAGGTGCAGTGAATAGCACGTCGTTCAGGACTGCAAGGACACCGTTTCGTATCGACTTGGGGTGGTCCTAAAAAAGGATGCACGTCACACCATAAACACAGTAACGCACAGTTAAAGCAACAGTTCAGGAACGGTTTCGCGGGAAAAAAACACCAATAATGGAGTTGGAGATGAAAACTTAATGTATGAAAACTGGAAAAAACTCGGGGAGGGTCTTAGACAGGTACTCTCCCTCTCGCTCAGACATGGACGTAAAGACGCACGTTGGATGAGTTTCTCCATTTTTCAATCAATTTTCCCTGTGGTCCCAAAACGAGCACGACTGCCGACGCATCCAATGACGGCCGGCAAGGGGGCGGGATTAGAGAAATCCCCAAGAACACCCATGTTTGAGGGACTTTCCACCCTGTTTTGAGTTTCTGAGGTAAGTTCGTTTATATTTCCACTGCATATGTTCTTCACTAGGGCTCTGTATCCCTCAGTAGTAGCGGCATTGAAATTTTCGGACCCTCCCTGAACTGTTGCTTTGAAGGCACGAGTCAATTGTTTTGATATTTCGTGCGGACATCAGACAAGTAGCACGAAGAGGAACGTTGATGGGGAAAAAGCAAAAATCTTCATGAAAACCCTGGAATTGTCCTTGTGACGTCGACTGCAGGCGTACACAAGGAGGCACAGACATCAGCATGCTGCAACTTAAAGCAACATTCCAAGAACGAATTCGCGGACAAAAACCACCGATAATGTATTGTGGGTGCAACGTTGACCAATAATGAAAGAAAATATTGAACAAGACGTCGAACAGAGACTTAGACAGGGACTCCCACTCGCCACTTAGCAATGGAGGAAAACGCTCGTTGGACGAGTTGTATGAACATGCCCGCAGCAAATGCGCCCCAATTGCAATAGCTGGCAAATGCTGGCAAGTAGCCAGCTAATGCAATTGGGATGCAATAATAGGATCGTTTCATGTTTAGGAGGTAGAAGGTAGAAGGAAAAAATGTAGAAGACATCACTACATCAATTGCTTCAAAGGATCGACCTCAAATTGTCTCGGCGGTCCCGCAACGACCGGCAACCAACCACGCGCTCTTCACAGCAGCAAGAGGGCGGCTCCACCGAGGCTCGGTGGATCCGCCCTTTTCGAAGGAGTTCGAGCCCTTCCTACGCATTCCAAAAGTAAGTTTTCAATTCAGTAACAGTTCCTATTAACTTTACTTGGACTGGGGCATGCTTCCACACCTCAGGATTGGATTGGTCGGTACCCTTCTTGGACTGTTGCTTTAAGAATGGCAGCGGTCACAGCGGTCAAGCGAAGCCATTCTGCCTTGACGCGAACATTCAAGTTGCGACAATGCTAACACCCTGTGCTGGGGGGTCTTGCTACGCCACTCGAGGAGAGAATTTCTTGAACAAGGGAAGGATGGTAGGTATAAGTGAGATATGCACCTCCGGAGGCCTCTTCGATTGCTCTAAGATCTATATTCCACTGCTGAACGCTCTCTGAGCAAAATTATAGAGGCTGTCGTGAGACGGGGCAGACCCAAGATTGGCACGAATACGAGACGCATGTAGCGAACGGTTTGCAGCAGTGGCGCAGTGGTTACTATGCCAGCCTCAGAGGTAAGCTTCGGGATAAAACAAGTGTGGAAGAACGTTCACTAATGAAGCTCAAGGTGGAGAGTGGTGTTGAAAAAAGAAGAAAGCAAAGAAATCTTATCGTAATCTCCTGCGCATAAAAACGCACCACTGTTCTCCGCCTGCCTGGTGCGCCGCAATGCCAGTCTGACAATTCGGAGGAAAATTCGTCAAAATGCAAATGAGCGTTGGCATTAGATTCAAGATCATCTACCTGCTGCTAACGATTAAAAAAACAAAGAAAAATACCCGTATGGATCTGATCCCCTAACAACGATCGCAAATTCCGTGTCTTCGACCGTTATGCCATCGTATAAACAGGGTACATGAACGTCCGTAGTTGTCTTCGCAGAGTCGGTCAACAGATACAGAAGACAAATTTTGAATCAGCGTCCGAAGACGCATCGGGTGGTACAGATTTATCTCAAACGGCCACTTTCAACTTATATCCTTCCCTTGTATAGAACTAATCGCGATTTGTGCCTTTGAGTGAGGAGAAGAAGTATTATCTACTTCTCATAGCAGCTGCACTCTAAAGGTCGGTTTCACAAAACAAATCCAAAGTTTGAAGGAAAGTATAGACGAAGTTGAGAACTTCAACCGAACCAAAATGTTGGAAGTGTACTCACACGTGGATTCTCCCAGTCGGTGTACTCATTGATAATGGCTGCTAGCAATTCGGTCCGATGGTAGTCGTATAGATTCCTCACCAGAGTTCTTAAATGAGCACAATTGTACAGCTTTTCAGGTCCTTGCACGAAAAAATTCAGAATGGACTGAAGAGATCTTTTTTAAAGGAATCTTGCGCGGAAAATTCTTGCACTCTTTCCTAACATGAATATGTCAGTTGTGATCACTGGAACACACAAAGTTTCACGCATTAAGAATCGGTTTCTGAAGAGAAACAAACGTACAAATACTACACGTTATGGACCATCGAAGGACCAGGAGGCAGAGCCAGGCGAGGCATGGAAAGAAGACGGCGTTTGGCCGCCCACGTACCAGGCGACGCAATGAGAGAATCGGGTTAAAGCGTGCGATTTCGGAGAGTGGAGACAAATCGATCGATGGAATAGGATGGGGTGGAAGTGTAAGATGTCAATGCAACGAAGTAGAAGGCCAGAAAGAGCTTCTAGTGAATGCACTCAGCATCCCCCGCCTAGCATTCCGTGAAAGAGACGTCCGTGGGCAATTGAACGCGTAGCAGCCTTTTCGAGTTTTCGAATTTCTAATCAAAACAGAAAGCAGTTCTTTTCAATATTATATAGGATAATGAGTCTCAAGCTTGTGATTTATGGCTGAAATGAAATCATGATTTTTCCGCGCAAGATTCCTTTAACATCGTCTAGTGGCTCAATTACGTTGATCTTTGGAGTGGTTACGAAGTGTTTCGCATAGTGCTACAAGAAGGCCATTGCATGAGCGAGCTTTTGCGTAATCCCAAAGCAGATCATGGTCCTAACAGTAGTCCTGGAAGAGCACACAGCGGTTGACCTAGATCAGCATTTGACCGCGCTAGGTCAGATATTATTCCTCATCCGTCAGTGCTCTGACCCTTCATGGCACGAGCGCTAGAAATTATGCCATCTTCGTATCGCAAAGGGCCAGGATGCAGATACAACACGCCCTAACCTTTCATGGCACGAGCGCTAAGAATTATGCCATCTTCCTATCGCAAAGGACCAGAGTGTAGGTACAACACGCCACAGATGAGAGCACACAACCTCCGCGGCATGCTGTGTTGGCACCATAAACATCAGGCCTCACAATGGAATCCGACTTCTCATTCATGCTCCCTGAACACCGAATTGAAGGAATCGTTAACAGAAATGTTTTCTTTCTTCCTTCAAATGAAGGAGTTTTTCGATCGCTGCAGCCAGCGCACAAAAATTCGCGCACTAAGATTCATTTGCGAAAAGAAGCAAACAACAATTTCTGACCCAGATAGACCGGGAGCTGAGTTAATGGGCCCATGCAGCGACTTATGTGGCAGTGCGGCCATGTATTAGGAGACACCTTGGCTCGGAGCATTTTTCGGAGAGAATACAAAACCAAGGAAAGGTTAAGATGCAATAGAACAGTGAAATGATATTGCAAATATCGCAAGGCCAAAAAGTTTCTCTAACGACGGCATTCCAATACCTAAATGGAAGCGTTTCCGCTGCTAACATTTAGGAAAGATGTACGAGGGGAGTCTGAGCGAGTGTGCGTACAGTTCTTGGCTTTTTCAGATCGTTCATCGGTACTTTTCGTTTTTGTTTTCATACCACGGGGGATAGCGCACATGCTAACGATTCAAAATCATGATACCATTTCTATACGTTTCTTCCATTACCCCAAGAGTTTCACGCACGTTTCTAAATATGTTCGTTTCTCAACACGTTTCTAATATAAAATGAGAAGCCTTATCGGCGCAGATATCAAATTCAAGGTATAGATTACCTGAAGATTTTCTGACGTCGTTCCTTTGACAGTCCCGACTTCAAGTCTTCGTTTGATAGCAGATAGTGCGCCGGATTCGAGGAAAACCCGACCAGCAGATCGATCTCACGGAATAAGGAGCCATACTGAGAGGAGAAGGAAATCCGTGGCGAGTTTGGAATCAACTAGAAACGACTCGTTAGAATTCACCACATAGCCGAAGAGGTTTGAAACTTTCGCAGAGAAGTGAATGAAGCAAATAGAAAAAAACCCTAATTCATTCAGTTGTAAGGTTTTCTACGGGTATTTGAAATGGTGTGAACAAAATCTACGTGATCAATCCTAGAATCTCTCCAAATGAGCTTGAAGTAATGATACTATCAGCTAAATGTGTAATAAACAATGTGAGACTTCAAATATTTATTGCAAAAGACTATAATCTTTTGCAATGGATATTTGAATTATAAAAATATTTAATTAGTAATAGTCTTTGAATAGTAATAAATTTGAATAATAACAACAGTCTCTTGCTATGAATATTTAAAGTTTCACACTGTTTATTACACGTTTAGATCAACATGAGACTTTGGAACAGGGAATTCTAAAGGATATTATCAGCATAAAGACCGATTTTCACATCACGCAAATCTTTCAGTGGTGCTCCATGATAATGTTCCAAGTCGAAGAAGGAAATACACCTAGTCAAAAAAAGGCGGGCCCTCTAAGAGTGCAGGATGATGCGCCCACGGCAGTGAAGGATTTGTCCGCAGTGGCCTAACTGGGCCATATCCGCGCCAGTCATACCGCTTACGTCGCTGCACTCCCAACGATGGCCAACCCCTCACCGTCTGATTCACGCCGTTTAACAGAGAGACCGGTAGCGATGAAGAGGGCAGCGAAGATGGACTGACATCGATGCGGAACTCAAATAAAGGGTCTCCTTTCTGTGGTTGTTGGGAGAAAGGGTTCATTTATTCACGCATCGCTGATCACCTCTCCAATTTCGAATGAGCTTTCCTTTCATCAATGTTCGCCTCTAACAATAAAGTACGTTCGTAGTGCGCGCTACATTGGGGATTGGCTGCTGTGTACGGTCTATTACTGGTAAGCGTCAAACGTCAAGGCATGATACTGTAATTTATCACCTTTCCAGTCCATAGAACAGACAACAGAGTTTTGATCAACTAATAAAGACTTATAACCTCCCCCTCTTCTCATTACCCAGCATTGAATGAATAAACTGCTTCATATCACAGAATAGAGCTATTATAGCAATATTCTAGACAGTAAATTATACAGGGTGGCCAGAAATTGCGGTAACAAGATAAAAAGTCATGGAAAATCTATACAACTAGAAAAAGGCAGGCGAAAAAATAACATGTTAACTCAAGGGGAATAAACGAAAAACTACATCGTCTTTCCGACTGGTCACTTTCGCTTTGGAAAAGAAGTGAAGTCTTCCAGGGAATGAGCTGACCGCGGCATGTTGGTAGACAGCATCTTGCGTTACCGGCATTATGAAGCGGTTTCTTCAGTCCATTACGTCTCAGTGATGTTAGCATGGGGATGCTCGTCTTCTGCGTACAGCGTAAGCTAGCAGATTTGAATGGGAACTCTAGGTGGCCACTTTCCAAACGAAACAATCTCAAGGTAGTTCAGCTGGCAAAAACTTCGCACAAATTTCCTTGTGAGCCGGTTCTACAGAGACGTTCAGTAAGGCTGTTATTTTTCCCCTTGCTTGAAGGATTACTTGAGTGAGAAAAAGTTCGAGATAATCCTTTTTCGGTGTTATCTTAGTTGGGGGGACCACGCGGCGGCGCGGCGCTCTATTCGTCTGGTTCTCCAAAGATTTAGTCCCTGGTACAGTTACTGTTTCGCGGTCACGTGACAGTTTCAAAATACACGCCATCGGGAATTAAGCCTTACAGGAGGAGATGAATAGAGCGCTGCGAAGCCGCGTGGTCCCCCCCCCCAACTAGGATAGCATCCTTTTTTCATCTATTTTATGCACGGTGGAACAAAAGTCAAAAGTGACATGGTTTGGGTTTAATCACCGCAAAAATCTTCAGTGTTTCCGGACTCAAAGATGTCTGAAATATTGAGCTTTGGCTTGTGGAACGCAGTTTTTGCTCTATCTATTCAAGACTGACTCGACTGTGAGTACTTCTTCATCAGTGAAAAAGTTGGCAATGAAGTTGAGGCAACGCCTCCTGCGCGGCGCTCTGTTCGTCTGGTTCTCCAAAGGTTTAGTCCCTGGTACAGTTACTGTTTCGCAATCGCGTGACAGTTTCAAAATACGCGCCATCGGGGACTAAGCCTTACAGGAGTACTCCTTCATCAGTGAAAGAGTTGGCGATAGAAATTGGGGCAACGCCTCCGTCCTGCTCATTTCCTTTCCAGTTTACTCGCTTTATTGGTAAGCTGAGCTTTTCCAAGCTTACGTGCCCTGGCCACGGGATGTCTTCTGACGATTACTTGCAAAGACGTGCGCCTGATCGCTAACGCGAAAGACAAACGACTTGTTGGATGTGAGAGACCATTAGTGCTCCGCTCCTACTTTTCAATATTGTGCTTAGTAACAACAGAAGCTTATAGTCCACGTGCAATCCAATCGTTCCTGGCACCTCGTCGTTGTTCTTCGCAATGGTGATTGTTGCGCGTTTCGTAAGATCCTGATTCGCTTTGCAACGTAATACCGCCAGTCACGTTGACGAAGCAAGCGAGTCGTTATTTCTTGAAAAGTTAAAGGCTTGAACAATCCAAACTAGATAAATTTTGAGTGGTAGAATCAAAGTATGAACACTGCATTAATAGAATCAAATGCGTAAAAGCTAAACTCAAAACTTCATCAGTTCAATTTCAGAATTGTATGCTGTCGCTTTTGTTACCGTAACTTCGGACCACCCTGTATAATACAGACTTTCAAAAGAGTTGAAGATTAAGCAGCTTAAACATGCTAAAATTCGACTCATAGCATACTATACCTTACCCCAGGTAACACGAGAAAAAGGTCACAGAGGGTTTCAAATCTTGTATACCCTATCTCTTAAGTGTTCACGGTCATTACACACGCAGAGGTCCCTTTCTTTACCTGCAGCCGTAAATAGAAACATAAATATAGAAGACGTGAAAAACAAGTAAAAAAGTAGGCTGCAACCAGAGTGTTTTACAAAAATACCCACAATGAAGGCTTAGCTGACTAGATGTGTACGCGGTACTAGATGTGTACAGGGGCAAGGGCAGAAAAGCCATTTGCCTATGGTTTCAGCCCCCCCCTCCCCTCCATAAACAGAAGTAGACCCTCCCTACTGTCCTCGTTGTCGCCAGAATATAACGGCACCTGCTATTTTCGTCGAACACACAGGAAAACTTCCACAGAAAAAGCTCCGCCTCCATTACCACAGAAAAACGATACCTTAGACCCCTAGCCTCATGAGCATTACAAAAAGAACGGACCATAAGCGTTTGTTTCGATAATACTAATCCTACACATAAGACAAAATGACCACTCTTTCCGTGGAAAATTCCTTTAAGGTATCGTTTTCTGTGGTAGTTAAGGCGGAGCTTTTCCGTGGAAGATTCCTTTAAGGCGATCTACCATAATTGCTCCATCCTCAGAGGCAAGCCCGGGATAAAATTGGTGCGGGAGAGCGTCTCACCGTGGAATAGAGTGGGGACGTGTTGGACGAGTTTCATGAGCGTCAGCTGCTCGCTGCTCCAGCGTCAGCGACATTGAACCGCAAGGCAATCGACGCCGCAACTGCGCCCACACGTTTAGATCAGCGTCACGTGGCAACCGACATCGGATGGCGCGGCCAGGGTCAATCCTACGTTGTTACTAGTAACAACAGGGGGGTAGTCCTGGTTGAGATTGTAGGGGGGGGGGTCGTATCCGCTTCAGTCGCGTGAAATTAAATGGGAGTTTGTGGTGGAAGTGGAAGCAGTGGAATTATAGTCAGAAGTGGGGTAAATTGGTTGAAATTTAGGGAATTTTGGTGAATTTTCACTGTTTCATTGTGGCCCCCCCGCTGGACGGCATTTTTGGAGGAAAAAGTGGGCGGAGTTTGGTGGTGAGTGGTACCAGAATTAAATACTATAGAGAGGAATATGGTGGTCGGGGTGTGGAAAAGGGGGTCGTACGAAGTCCACCTTGGGGGAGGGGGGTCGTGAAAATTTTTGAAAAAGTAACAACGATAGTACTGACCCTAATACGATAGTACTGGCGCGGCTTGCGGACAGAGGTGTGGATTGCAGGTCGAGAACGCTTGTCTGCCTGTCTACAAGTTCCGGAGATGGAACAGGTGAGCGCGCCTAATCCCAGATCGTGAATTTGTGCAATTAGAAGCTTTTGTTCAGTGGATGCGTAGAGAATTTGAAAAACTGAATAAATCAGCGGCGAAGCAGTCTTCTATTGAAGGATAGTGATCCTTATACTCGAATGAAATGTGACCATACCTGTCCATCAACTATCGGAGCAAAACCGCTGAGGAATGTGGGTATGTCAATAGCTTGTACTGCCTTCGTTACATTGTCAGCAGGATGGTCCTGCATGCAACGAAGTGTCGTGTCAGCGTTGTCATTGAATGTCGACGATCGATTTCGAGACAAACACTGAATTGTCATATTCATTGACAGGTTCCGCAGTGACGCCCATAGATTCCCTATTTCAATTGCCAGTTTCATAACGATGTCCAATTACCTACCCCTAAATTTTCAGCGACTTGGGCAAAATACTGTTGTGGATTATGAGCCATAGCCCATGGGGCTAATGCTGTACCGTCGAGAAGGATCGCTCGTCTGAATAGACGGCGACCAGGTTGTGTTAGTGGAGAAGCCATCAACAACGAGACCAATGAGGCACCCGAACCCCAACCTGAAAATAGCGCATAAGTTTTAGAAGCTGGCCACCATTATTTCGTTGGATGTTCGTGAAGGGTGAATTTCCTTCTACATCTCGTTAGTGGCATGGCCTATAAATATTAGTTTGCTGCATTGTAAGTGTCGTTGTAGATGTATTCGATGATTTGTTCGATTGGTAACAATCTAGCTTCTCAGAACAGAGATGGGTACTATCTTGTGTCAGGTTTCGCCAATCCTCACGCGAGCATGACGTTCTTCTTGAAGAGTTGCAAAACTGGGCGCAGGCAAACATGGACTCACAAAGTCATAACTTTTTTGTAGTCTCAGGGTCGTTTTTTCGTCACAATGTGCCGCGTTGGCTCGAAAAAAAGCACTTAGATAGAATGTGACAACGCCTATTTAGCGGACAAGTAAAGGCCTTCAGTCCGGTTTTGCCCGCTTTTGTTAGCTTTTTCTTTAAATGCAGGTTTTTCTTTGTGAAGTGAGTTTAGCAAATCATTGTTTTTATTTTTTGCTTAGCCAGCTTCGATGTAGGTCGTTTTTTCGCTTGCGAAAGCCTGTCGTGATTGCGAAAACTGGATTCAGCTTATCAAGATGTCGTAAAGCATTTACGTGCACACTAACAGATTTCACTTGCTAATCGCTCAAAGGAAAAAGTCAACTTAAAAAAACGAATGGTATGGTCAAAGAGAAGTCATTTCTATGCTACCAGTGTGCTTTACGAATGAAAGCACAAGTAGTTTCAAGGATTCGAAAGGGTAAAATTTAATATGTGCGACATTCATATTGCAACGCTTCAAAGGCAGCGATTACGATAAAAAAGGAGCGCATCCGGGAAGCATATGCACCACAAGAAGCGGTTACTTGGCTGCCAGGAAATGAGCTGTAGCACTTTCACGACGGAAGGTGCGCTGGTTGCTGAGCAGGACTTTGAAAGCACTGCGCCCCCAAAAGCGATCCGCCCACTAATTAAGATGGTTAATTGGACGAGCTGCGTGTCCAGCAGCGACACATGGAGCGTGGTTCGGCACGGTGCCGCCAAAGGCGTTGCGATGACCTCGTTTATACGTCCTGGTTCTGACGTGTTACCTGTTCATGACTTGAACCGAATGGTCAAAAAAGGGGATCCCGTTTTACGTTTTCTTGACGAATTTTTCTGCTTTTTTTGCCACTGGCGTACCATTGAACACCACCACGTCTTCTCTAAAACTTCTTCAAACTATCGTGATCGCTGCCTTTAAGAGGTTGTGCGTGGGCTATGTCGGGGAGTTGATCAGCTGTTTAAAGAGTTAATAATTACTCAGCAAAGCTCATTACTGGCATAACTCATTATATAACTGAACCGAGGCCGCAGATGGCGTAGTGGCAAAGTGCCACTAATCATGCACATGGTCCGCGCTTCGCATCACTGATCGAATCTAGCCAGGCCTTGTATACTCTACTATATGGCTCTCTCGATAGGACTGCAAATAGAAACTCTGAAAACAGCTGATGATCCATCAACACACACCACGGAAAAAATTGTCAGAAGAGGTTTACAAGAAAAGAGGAATGGAAAAGATCGAGGTAATACAGCCTCCGCTGTGCACGTGTCGTTGGATGTGATGTAAGCTGTAATATTTTCTACTACCCAAAAGTCATAAACTTATTTAACCATCCAGCTGTCTCATGCCTTTCAATTTGTAAAATATGGCGATATTCTATGGCAAAAAAAGAGGCAGAAGAAGCGAAAGCAATGTATTCAAATAAGTGATTGAAATTGTTTACCAAGTAATGTGACAGCTTTCGGATCACCTCCAAAAGGTGGCAGAACCACATTAAGCATTGTCAACGCCGAAACCAAGTCGGAAATACCGCTATTGCCAGAGCATGACGACGACTCGCAACGTCCGAGGAACCCTGCGTACGAGTCAAGTGATCATGTCTAACACTGAGTCTAATTTCGGGCTTACTTACCGAATACTCCCAGACGATAATTCAACGTGACGACGACAATTTGCCCATGAGATGCCAGAATGCTTCCGTTATAGGGACTTCCTGCGTTCCAACCATATTCGTCACCGTGAACAACCACAAGCACCGGCAGAGGTGAATCGCGCTGTGAACTCTCTGAAAACAGCCAATTCCGTTACCAAAAGGCGAGTACACACCCAGCAAAGAAGGTGAGCAACACAAATCAGGAAGCCATTCTAAGCTTTCAGTAACCTTCTGGACTATGAATGAACAGACGAATAAACCCCCAATGACATTTGAGCCAAACAATAACTTTGTAGCATATACATACTATACTACACTATACATAGTTCATAAAAAGAAATTCATCTCATTTCATCTATTTCATAATCCCATAAAACGCAAATATAAAATTAAAGGCATCGAATGCTGCCATTCTCACCCTGATACTCTTACATGGCTGCTTCATTCCCTTCAGAGAGAGCAGCTAGAGACCTGAGTCTCCTTCGCGTGGTCCGTCATGAATACACACCACTACCAGGGATCCACGCAACTCGTTCTCATAACTCAATTCCTTCCCTCAGCAACTAGCCCGTTGTTAACATACATTCTAATCAGTTGTATACACATATTCTCATCTTTTCGTGACACGTAATATATTGTTATTTTTGCAAATTTGAAGAAGAGCATATGCAAAGGAAACAGACTCATAATGTTTTCGAGGTCTATTCTGATTAGAACAACGGAGTGTCAAGCTCTAATAAAGGTTATAAACTCTCTGCTGAATTCAAGATAACCGAAAAGGCTTCACAGGTGTCGATAGATGAAAATTCTGAGGAATTTGAATTTTTTAAAAAATTCTTGCTTGAAGTTCCCCTCATGCATTTGGCATCGAAATTCGGAAATCTGTGCACTTCCGGCTCCATTAATGCACGAACCAATTAGGAGCAGAAATGGTTCGCATAACTTCGAAAATCATAAATCAGTGGGAACCATGCCTCGTAAATCCAGCACAGAGTGAAAGATGAATGGTATCTTGGTCCTACTGCGGTCAATCTTGCCAAAAGTGGTAGTGTATCCTTCTCGACCTGATTGCGTGAACCTTTCAAATCCAAACTAACTAAACTCAGTTCGTTCGTTCTTTGTGGAAGATGACGTGAGGTATCAAACCTAGGCCAACAGACGATTGGAGGGAGAAAAAAGAAAAGCTTGTCGCCACTGAAAGGAAGTTCTTCTCAAACAACAAGGGAAGAGAAAGTATTTTTTGGCTTCTGTGGTAGTTGCGAAGCCGATAGGCGTCACTAAGCTACGAAAATTCTGCGCTAGCGTTACGCTTGTACCAGACAAATTGCACAAAAAATCAGCCATGAAGCCAATGGAGATATGTAACCGTTAAATCGGCTCTATGGCCGCAAACAGAAATCCATTTCCGTGGCGCAAAGAGTAATGGACAATGCGCACGTACTAATCACACCAATCGTTTGATTGTGTTGATGGGGTACGGTATCTTTGTGTGATGTTCGATTTCTTTCGGTACATGCTTGAATCGGTGGGAATGAACAGTGATAGTGATTGTTATGCGTTACTAGAAAATCCACAGTTTAAAGGCAAAATTCAACCCTAAACTGATGAGGAAGTCCACTCAAATGTGATGTAGGGGCGGGAGGTGGACTGCCAGTGGAGAAAAAAGGAAAAAAATTTGTGAATTACACAGGAAGTACGAGTTTTTTGCTCTACGTTGCGGAGAAGTTCGAGAGGCCGGCAGGGAGATGAGAGATAATGTGAGCGCGGAGAGCGGTAGAGAAATCCGAGAAGAGAGAGCATAGCAGACCAGCATTGCGATGCAGACAAAATATCGAGTGGTGGGCGGAGCGTGTCGCAAGAGGTGGAGCGTGTCAAAGTCCTTGGCCCCTAGCGCCTTAGTGACGCATTTGGATGCGGGAACTGGCGAGTCGCCTGCTGCTGCGTTCCACGCACTTCTAGCCACTTTAGGGGTTTATTAGGTGGAACTGAGCCCGAACTTTGCCTTTAAATTCTAGTGAAATAACGGATGGCATAGCACATGCATTGAATAGCCTTGGAAGTGGATGAAACACAGCGTTCATATAATCAGAAGTAGAGCAGGCCTCATATACTGCTGCGCAGAGCTCAAGGGCGAAAGCAACTTGCATGATATCTCACTGCTAGGCAAAATAACTCGATGACATTTGGAGCATGCTTCTTAGGGACCATGTGTACTACATCCAGCGGGTTACCGGTAGAAACGCGCAATGGGATGAACGGAAATAGAGATCATCTTCAATAACAATCTGAAGTGTTGATGAATGGAGCTACACCAACCATGGTGAACCTTCAGAAGACAGAAGGTGGTTCTTGATGGAGTACATGAACACTACGGACTGCGTTGCATGCTCTGCTAGTACGTGCTTCCATATTGGCCGCAAGGTTAGTAAGGAGTTCTTGTGAAGGGTGTTCCATCCCTCGAACACTGTGATTGACAGTTGCTGCTGGACTGGCGCATGTGTACTGCAATAGCTCATCCAATCGCATCCTACACGTGCTCGATAGGATTTGCGGGAGGCCGGAAGACGTAAAATGATGCCCAATATCCTCTCGCCAAGAGTTTTTTATCTGGACTGTTTGTATGGATGCAATGCTTGGCCCTCTATACGAACGGAAATTGGGTCAAACACACCCCTGAAGAGACACGCATCAGGAAGAAATACTGCACCACTATAGCTCAAATCGGGAAATATACCACTGTCACTAGTGTGGAGGCTAATTCATCCCAGTGGCATACAGGAATAGAAACACTGAACACAGGAGGAAAGGAAATGGTAAAGAGTGCCACCTGAACGAGCAGGATGATTAATATGTAGATGATTGAAGAGTGTGTTCTCACTCAGCGGAATGCTTTTTTTCACTAAATATCCACTACATGTTCGCGCGCTCTTGACACCGGCCATTATGTGAGGCATGTAATCTTCGTGAAATGATGATGCATGAGCTACAGATGGCTGTCTGGAAGAAGCCTTTCGAATGGAGGCCGTTTTTCGTCTGTACCCTTCGCGTCTGGGTGGTGTGGCCTCGTCGTGTATAAAGCTCGTAAAGTGATTGCGGTGAATTTTCCACAGAGTCGAAATTGAGAGGTGATACTCTCACAAATAATGGTGTTGAAGTTGATTCAAACCACTGATAAATGGTCCAATTTAGGACAGAATTCCAGCTGCCAAAGCGGGAGTATAGTCACGCTAACGTCAGTGCGACGCAAAGGTGGGAAATAACAGCGACATGTTTGATTACTGCAGCTAGTGATATATTTGCAATGTCTCTCTGATGGATTCGTCAGATCATCACATCACTATCATCCACATCTATCATATAGTAACCAGTTATCCTGCACACGGTACCCTGCGCGTCACAAGATCACTAACGAATGGCATCTCCATAGCACAAGCTAATGGCTTCACCATGTGGTCAAATGCTCGTTCTCACCTTTTGCCTTGCCAGGAACGTAGCACATTTATGTTTCTCCTTCCACAATTCTTACTGCTCATCATTCCCAAATTTTGATATGGAACTGCTGAATATGCATGTTGCATGATGGGGAATGATTGAAATTCAGGAAAAGTGACAGAGGTGAAAGCATATGTGCCACGATATCCAACGACCCACGACTCACGATCGGATGGAATTTCGGCTTCTATGACTTGATCCGATTAGTATTGTAAACTGCTACTCATTTCGAGTCCTCTGCGCTAAAATCGATATGTCCAATCGACATAGATCGATAGCTCAAGACGTTCACTTCGGCGCCCCACCCCAGTTGCCATTGGTATGTGGCTTCCTGTCATCCACTTCCCTTCTCTCATTTTTTCCGATTTCTGAGACTTCTCTGAACCGTATTATGAGGATTTGTAATAAAACGCTGCCCGCTTAAGGTCACGCTCCGCCCTCTATGGGCGGGCTTCCGCTCGGATCAGGTATGATGGGGACACCTCAAATATTGCTCTGCTAAACCGATTTTTTTGCTCGATAGGCCTATAATATTAACCGAGTTATGGGTTTTTCCATAAAACACTGCCGAGGCAGAGAACGCTCCCCCACAGCGGACGAGCTCTCCAATCCAATCTGGCAACACAGTACACACATTTACCCATTTTTTATGGTCTCTGGGCAATTCTATAAACGAACTCGAAATTTTTGCCGCGGGTACCGCTCAACTCCGCACATGCACTGCCCACTGTGGGCATAGCTCGGCCCAGCTGATGTGTTTTGTAGTGCATGACTCATGCCCCACCCATCGCAGACATGACCCCGACTCTGCAGGTGATTCTTCAGCTAGTATCGAGTTCCGTGGCGAAACGGCAACACACAAACGGTCGCAGGACGTACAAACACACCAGATCGCTGCTTTATATATATTAGTAAGGGTGGAAGATTCCTTTAGGTCGAAAATGTTTAAAAAGAAGAGGGGTCCTGAAAAAACCGTGATTGCAAGACTTCCCTAACACTCAGCATTACGGTAATTATGACCGATTCTTCAAACACTTTAATAAGTTCAGAAAAAAACTATCCGGGTAATAGTAAAATATTCAAATAAAACACCATATTAACTTGTACAATGGTCTGTCATTGAAAGCCGAAATTCAAAGTAAAGAAGAGTAAAGAATGCGGAAAAAACCCTCGCAATTTTTTACACAGTTTACGGAACAATGCCACGCACCCTTCCGCAAACGAATCGCGAAGCATAAGACCTATACTCTGCATACCTTTTTCAAAAACCTTGTTCGATTCTTACTGTAACCTTCAACTCACCGAGTCGTTCCGGCACATATAGATTCATATATAAACAATCTTCGGATTGAAGTTTTAGCTTTGGGAGTAATCGATGCACATAGTCGAATCGTTGAGCTGACATTTGTTTAAAAGCCCTAAAAGTGAGGAAAATAAGTAATTCTTGGAAAAAGCCGTAAAATTGCATCTCACACGGGAAGGGTTTACTTCTGCCTCTTTTCATCTACTCCTTTATAGTAAAAATAAAAATAAAAGCAGAACTTAAAAAGCAAAAAGGCTAGTTGGACGATATAGAGCAGAAAGGCCTGTAAATGAGTACATATGTCTTCCACTAATCCAATCCTGCCTATCTCCGTTTCGTTCACCTAATATTGAACTACCTACAGAATATAGTAATGCAGCAGTTGAGAAGGTAGAAGGAGGAAGCATAGCACTAGCACAACATAGAAGTAGGAACCTGTTTCAAGGAGAAATTCGAAGCATTATTGTATACAGAGCGCAGTGAGCTATAGCATGGTATTTCGAGTCTGTCAGGGGTTTCTTTGAGTAGAGTGAGAAGTGTTAGTAAAAATGAAAGGCCCTGAGCGTTTGTTCAACCATTGTTGGTGAATACATAGGAAGGAAACTATTCATTGTGGCTCTCCTTGAATAATCGTGTTGGCAGTTTGAGCAAACGTTGATATAATTTTCTTAGGATTATTGCTAAAATGAATCCTCAACTCTTTCAAAAACTAGAGAATTAGTTCGTACGGAACTCGTTTTGCACGTCGGTTTACGTCAAGAAAAAGATTGGTCAAAAAGAAGTTTTCGTGCACGACGGAATCGCGCAGGGAAAATTCGTGAGTTCCTGTTTACCATGTAGACGTTTTGTGATTGCTAGAGGAGCCGTATATAGTTCACGTAAGAACAGTCCTAAAAGAAAAGCAAACCCACAATATTCACACTCTTTGGACGGCCGCCGATAGATCGGGCGGAGCAAGGTGGGACATGGAAAGAAGTGCGTCTTGGGGCAGCCAAGTGCCAGGCGACGTATTGAAAGAATCAATCGGAGCGTTCGATTTTTAAAAAAGAGGCAAAACAATCGAGAGAATAGGATGCAGTGGGAGAGTGAAATGTTTTTACCAACGTTGATAAGGTCAAAACGATTTTTCAGTGAAGGCACTACAAGCAGCAAGTGGATGCGTTACCGCCGCCGCGTTTGTGACAGATGTACGGCAGGTAGTTGGATTCGCAACAGTGCTCCCAGTTTTTCGAATTCTTTATAGAACACACGTATTTTTTGTTCTTTTCGTTCCATCGCGAGCATTGGGTCTCAAGCCGATTTATGGGGGACACAGAACAGTGCTGTCGTCGTGAGCAATCCCTTTGAGTTTTCCAAAGCAACAGTCCCAGCAGGGCTTTTACCTCCAACACCAATGGTGAGGAACCATGCGCTAGTCCTGATAAAGAACATAAAAAGTGTGACTGAACAAAAAAACTCACTTCGGAGAGCCGTTAGAAAGGGAGCTGAACAGCTCCTATGTGGGAATGGTTGTGCAGTCCTTTCGGCCAATTCCCATCACGCCCACTTCGAAGCCGTTCGTTCCCTTTCTGGCGGCATTCTGTTTGTGAGTCACATTTCTTGACTAGAGCTAGCGCACCGTTCCAACCATTACTGTCGGAGGCAGAAACTCTGCTGGGACTGTTGCTTTAATTAGATGATAGGAATAGTGCTGCTCCGCATCGGATTCCTTTGAGGTCTTTTCTATTTAGTTAAAATAGCTTTATTAGCAATAATTGAATGGTGTCCATAACCTCTAAAATGTCATTGAATGTATAGAACAGAATGATGAAAGAAAGATCAATGAATTTAAGGAAAATCATATCTGCGCAGTCGAGGATGAATGCAAGGATGAGGAGTAATTTCCGGAGGGAAAGCTCAGCAAAATATGAAATAAGCAAAGAAATCAAAGAAATTGAAAATGTGTTCAAACTCCAGAAAGGTGACTTTGTTTTGAATCTATGACTAAACTAGTAAATGAGGTAAAGAAAAGAGGTGGAGGGGGTGGTGCAGATTCGAAAGCATTCTGTGTAGTACCCTACCTGTTGACAGCAGGAAGGAAAAAACTACAAGAAAAAGTTCGCAAGGATAACTGATGGTGAGTCAAGTTAGTTAATTAGCTAGCACAAGAAGAGGGAAAAAGAATGAGATAGAGGTGTTGAACTGAACTTAGACAGGAACTACACTGCGTTCAATAATGATACAGCCACCTAAAATTTCTTCGAAAACTTAAAGTTCATAGAGTTTCTGAAAAACTGTTCAGATAGAAAATGTGACAAATTTCATGGCGAGTTCAGATATCTACACAAAAGCCCATGTTGTAAACACTAAAAAATTTTGTGCTAATTTTTTCAGAAGAGGTCGATTTTCCTATGTTCAAAAATGATACAGCCACCCCGTGTTTCTTCGTTGAAATTCATTGTTGCTTCATGAAACTGATTCGCAGTTATCAGGCCTTCACCTTAATGTTCCCGCAAGATAAAAAAGACAGTTTAGTTTTGAAATAAGGTAAACAGTAGCAAAAGAAGGACCAGGAATCGTCAAGCAGTCATATCGCGCGAAAGTTGAGTCAAAGCTCCAATACGGTTAACAATCTTTTGTGGAGTCCTGTAGTATGTATATGGAACAGCGAAGAGCTCTGGATGTTCACCATTGCTTTTTGGTCGATTTAAACTTCGCATTTTGGAGAAACATTTCAATTTCATCGAACAGTGCCCGGAACTCCAGTCTTTTTCCAGAATTGAACTTCCGACGAATATTGTTTGGGATGTTTTGCAAGAATTCTCGCAGGCTTGGATCTGCAATGGAGATTAAGAAACTTGTTTGCGAAAAATTCTCTCAAAAACTGAGAAATTTTTGCTTGAAAGTGTAGCCACGTCCGCTGGAGCAAGATCCGTTTTTTGCCCGCCTATGCTTATTTTCTGTCTGCGTTTCTCTCAATGTTTTTTCGCTTCAAGGAGACTAATGAAAAGAAAAACCCTTAATGAGGAAGGAAAAGCTCGAAAGAAAGTTCAGGCAGGAAGAAAAGTTAGACATTACAGTCAAGAGGACTGATCTTACTCCAGTCAACGTGGCTACACTCTCAAGCAAAAAATGTCTCAGTTTTCGAGAGATTTTCTTTTCACAAACAAGGTTTCTTTAATTCTCCCTTGAAGGATAACCTCGAAAATTCTTCAACGTCCCAAACAAAATCCATTGAAAGTTTACTTTTGAAGGAAGACCGGAATTCCGAGCACTGTTTGATGAAATTGAAATGTTTCTCCAAAATGCGAAGTTTAAATTGACCAAAAAGCAATGGTGAACATCCAGAGCTCTTCGCTGTTCCATATACTACAGGATTCCACAAAAGATTGTTAACCGTATTGGAGCTCTGACTCAACTTTCGCGCGATATGACTGCTTGACGATTCCTGGTCCTTCTTTTGCTACTGTTTACCTTTTTTCAAAACTAAACTGTCTTTTTTATCTTGCGGGAACATTAAGGTGAAGGCCTGATAACTGCGAATCAGTTTCATGAAGCAACAATGAATTTCAACGAAAAAACACGGGTGGCTGTATCATTTTTGAACATAGGAAAATCGACCTCTTCTGAAAAAATTAGCACAAAATTTTTTAGTGTTTACAACATAAGCTTTTGTGTAGATATCTGAACTCGCCATGAATTTTGTCACATTTTCTAGGACAGTTTTTCAGAAACTCTATGAACTTTAGGTTTTCGAATAAATTTTAGGTGGCTGTATCATTACTGAACGGAGTGTATAGTTTCAAATCTGTAGTCTCATGGCTGATAAGCTGTGCACCGGGCATTCAGCCGAAAATGCTAGCGACCAAAGCCTAGCGAGCCCACATCCTTCATGAAATGGTGAGTCACCTTTTCCGCGACGATGGCTCAATGATGAGATGGCCCAAGTCACCCCTCCAATGACGCAGAATTATTATAAGATGTGACCTTGTTTCACTGAGTTCAGGAAGCTGCGTTTGAATACAGGCCGGAGCCAATTTCCGAGCTTCCTTTGGCAGATGTGTCCATTTCGCAGCTGATATAGCCATATTGAAGCGAAACTGAAAACGAACAAGAAATTTCGGCATCTTTTGCAAAGTGATTGACAGCGCTCAAGAAGTAAACTTGAAAATTTCTGGGAAAACCAATATTCAAAGTGAATGATGAATGCTAGTCATTGTGGAGTAAGCCGAACATTACCTGTCCTGAAGGAGCTACACCGTAGGGCACACCAAGAAATTGTGTGACGGGTGCCAGATCGGCACCATCTGGGTGCACCAGCTCTCCTCTCACAACACCCCATGCCGTGTTAATGGAGCGCACTTCATAACTTCTAGAAAAAAGAAGCGCTTTCAAAACATAAGTAAAGAAAAAAAGTGGTCATAGAATCTAGTTAATCACTCACGTGACTAAAGAGCACAAAGCGGTTATACTGGACCAAAACCTCACAAGTCTGTGGGTGAACGATCTCATCACGTTCCCATTATCTGTCTAGTTGCCCTCCTGAAATCGATTTCAAAGTTTCGCAGCGTCAGCATGGTATCAAAGAACGCCAAAAGCAAATCTGGCAACGAACAGAAGATTCCATTGATATTTTCATCGAGCAAAATCAGAAGTCAAACATAGTGAGAATTTCTGCAATGATGTGCACATGTGCTAGTTACAGCGCTGCGATGAAGAAGAAGTAGGATACCAAGTTCCGAGCACCGACGGGACAATGGTGTGTGCTGATTGTTGGCCGTTCGTAAAGGGTAAACAACATAATTAGAGAATAAGCAGTCAAGAGGGTGGAATCCCTAATACGTAACGAAAGCACCTGGAAATTTGTCGCAAAAAGCTGTGAGCACCTGCTACAAACTTCAGAAAAAGTCAGGCTTAGCTTCCATCCTTGCACAATGAGAAGTTAAGGTGGTAGATGTAAGGTGGGCAGGAAGGGGCACATACTGCAGGTGGGTGGAAGCGCTTCTGGCCAATAAATGGCTGAGACCCTTAGCAATGCTGAAATCGAAGAGGACATGGAAGGTTCATGAGGGTGGGAAGGTAGGAGCATGAGTCGTTAGATGTGGTGACCATAGCCATGTGTTTGTGCCCTCCATGCCCCTCGCCTTGCATAATGACATCTTCACGTAGGAAGTCCCAATTGACCATGTCCCATCAATTCCCGTCAACCTGCAGCTTGCCTGCCAATTCAACTAGCCGGCCCTCATCGACGCCACTGTCGTTCGTCATAACATACAGCGACGTATATCCATAGGACCTTCAATCGGAACACCTGCTGGATGCCACATGCGCTCCCACTATCGTCATTTGATCGACTTCCCCACTGTTAGTCGATAGTCGCTCGACTTCAAGTTAATACGAGACTCATGTTCCAGCTTCACACAAGAAAAGTGGGAAACATTCTGGTGACACACTTTCCGAACTCCAGCTTGCTGAACACATTAGGGTTCCAAGTGGGGATCAAATCAAAATAAGAAACTTTTTTGCGCATGTCTCAAGTTCATTACGAAAAATACAATCAGGAAGGCATTGTAGTAGTTATGGTAACCATGGTCTGTGCATACTTTCTCAGTGCGAGTTTTACTCTAGGGATATTTGATAGTGAATCTCTAGAGTAGGCCTGCTCATTTTCGAATGTCTACACTGGTTTCTGGTTTGCCATAAACTGAAGTACTGATTCTTCTTTTCACAAAAATGGTGATGAGTCAAACCTCTTTAACAGGTTCTAAAAAAAGAAAAATGAAGTTTTTCTAGCTTGCCTCATTACCCTGAAATTATTGAAAGAGGCGCGTTCCCACGCCGCAGGCACACGAAAAATCGCATTGTTGCCAACGTGTTCAACGGCTCCTCAGCTGTTATCTTTAGTATTCATCACGTAACTCCCGAACACTTCTTTTTTCAGTGGGATAAGCTAGACAGAACCAGATTTACGAACGTATTATCCACCCATGTGTTAATCAACCACTTTAAAGGCAAATCGGAGGATAAAATTGATGTGCAAACGCGCTAAATGATGAAGCTGTTGGTAGAGAGTAGGTTCAAAGTGGAAAAGAAAGCAAAAGAAACCACTGAAAACACTGAACTCGAAGGCTCAAACGCTTCGTGAGGTTGAGAGGGAAGACGGAAAAACAGGCCGACCAAAAAAGACAGAGTACGTAGTCAGACATATTGGTAAGACCTCAGCACACTTGTCGCAAAACAGTTGTTTCAAACCTTATTGATGGTGCATCGATGACGCTGCAAGCAGCTCTATTCCACCAAACGAGGATTACTCCACTGGTCTTATCCACAGTTTGCCTGTAAGGACCAGGTTCCATGACGTCGCCCACAAATTTTCAGCTGTGATATCCTGCTGAGGCCACCCGCCCGTTGGGCAAAGTTTAACGAGGCAAGTAAACTTCGAAATGGGGTCAGATCTGGTGAAATGGGCGTAGTTATTTTTTTGGTAAAACATTAGGACAGGTTTTTGACAAGTGGGAGAAGTTTTACGAAATTTCAGGAAATTCGGCAATCTGCCATTTGAGCATTTGTGTCGATGGAATTTCTGGAGATAGAGGTAGGTTGTAGAGTTACAGGAGGAAGTAGATAGCAGAAGGAACAGTAACTAGTGAGGATTGAAGGTCGGACTACTAGAATGACCGAAATGAATCCTTCCGGGACGGAGAGAGGGGTAGTGCTTGACCTACTCTTTTCAGCAATGCAATGATTGACCTTGCCACTTTACTAACAGCCTCATCGGTCTCCTGTTATATGTATAAGGACCCAATTCAGTTTTATCAAAACTTTTAATTTCATATAGCATATGACTATTATCTCGGATGGAGGTGGGCTGCGTGTAGGCTGTGAAAGTGCATGCAGATGCCAGGCTGACATCTTTAGTTGTACCCTTAGTATTCCTCACATGGCCATAAACCTTAGCCGACCTCCTATCTTCTGTCAATCTGCTTTCTGGTCGAGTTTCCCGATGTCGTTGCGGACGACTAGGGGATGACTCCACGTCCTGGAGGGCCCTGGAGCGTCTCATACTAGCTTCGTTCACTTCACTTGTTAAAGACTGGGTGTCTCCCGGTGAGTCAGATGTAGCGCAGTAGTTCATACAATACGTCTACAGATGCACATTGGCCTAAGCGTGATCTATGTAAGGGTCTCCCTTCTGCGGAGGAAGTGTACATTTGAACATCCTCAGTGACAATATGTTTCAATTTTACTAGATGGCGAGCGAATGTATTCGGAAACGAGGACTCGCTACAGTTATACAGCGTGCACTTGTCTAGGCCTAAACACTTGCCAGAGTCTCACGGGACAGCCACAATCCATATTCATCATGCAACTACCCTTCAAGATCAAAGGCAATCAAAGGGAAAAATCGTGCAGAGTCAAACATGTTTAATAAACTACCCGACAGTCCCTCAAAGCGAGGGATTACGATGAGATTGCTGGGTTTGTAGTGTAAGTGGAGATGCTGAATTACGCCTCAGTGGTTGAAAGACCAAAGAAATCCGTCAACAACGCGCAAAATGGGACTTCTTTCTTTGCCCATTGACCTCCGATGATGGACGAGCTGGTAACTAATTAAGAGGTCATTTGCACATGTTAAACCGAAGCCGCTATCATTCCAGCAAAGATCATGCTTTGGTTGATGACGCATTCCATGCGTAGCGTTTCTCCTTCTAACAAGGAAAGGATGGTAGGTCGAAGTGGCCGTATAGAATGAGATGTATACCACCTGATGCGTCTTTAGACGCTGTTTCCGAATCTGCCTTCCAAATCTGCTAAACGGCTCTCCGAACGGATCTATGAGGCGTAATAGCTCAGTGGTGATGGTCCGGGGTAGCAGGTAAAAGCTCGTAGGGTCGGTTCCTTTGCAAGTTCAATGCTTTGCTTTTGTCCGTAACACTTCTAGAAACAAAAGCAAATCAACCAATTTGAAAAGGAACCGATCCTACGAGCTTTTTACCTCCCACCCCGGACCATCACCACTGAGCTATTACGCTTCATAACTTCGTTCGGAGAGCCGTTTAGCAGATTTGGAAGGCAGATTCGGAAACAGCGTCTAAAGACGCATCAGGTGGTATACATTTCATTTCAAACGGCCACTTCGACCTACCATCCTTCCCTTGTAAGGTCAGGCCGCTGAAAACTGAGACGCCGTCCGCTTGCTCGGAGTTAGCTTAGGACTAAGCCTAAGCCCAATCATAGGCTTATGCATAAGCCAATGTGTAAGCATGAGCCCTAAGCTTAGTCTAAATCCGAACTTAAGTTTGAGCTTCTGATCGCGCAACTGTGGTGGCTTGACCCAGGAGGAGAAACGCACGTCTCCCAAGTGGAATAGTTCATCCAAATCATAAGAACATTGATGCTGCTGCTAGCAACACACTTATGGGCGGAACACAGGCGGCGGAGGTGGAGCTCGGGAGGAATAGCAGCCCCAGGACGCTGAACTAGGGCGCCTCTGGTCACGAAAAAGCCACATCCCGCTTGCCCCTGACTACTACTGGGCTGAGCCATAATTTCTGCGAATTGCGACACTTTCATTTCATTGAGTTTTTTCTACCTGGAGAATAACTCACACCATCGCAATCGCTGATATGCATTCATTAGCGAATGGATGCATTCCTCTTAAAACGAGTAGAGCTATGGGATTAAGAGTTCGGGGAGGTCGTTTTTTGGGTGGTTGTATTCAGTGACCCCTTTCCCTCGAAGGTACTGCTTCAGGGCATCGAGAAGGGGATAGTGCGATGAACGATCGAGCCAGTTTCCCTCAGAAGGTGGCGAGTTATCTTCGCAATGTAAGGTCGGGCGTTCATCCGGAGGAATTAGATTTTGAGACATTTCGAATGGTTCTCTCGCACTGCTGCGGCAAACCTCGGGAGTTATTCCATGGTTATCTTCGCAGTGGTTGTCTATATAAGATGAAGCGGTTCTAAAAGCGGGATACCCGACCAGTCCTACAAATAAGGTAATATTTTCTGACGAAAGAGGTCGGGTTTTGGGTGAGATTGTGGGTTCATGCTGCAAGATAGCCATAAGGCGTGTCGCGTGTTGTTGTCGTAGTGGACTCGTGACTCATCCCTACTGGTGACCGACTAGGGAAAGTCCAGGCTATGCCTGCGCATAATGAAATTTCTGCAGATGGTCAGGTCTGCTTCTCATTCACGGTCAGAAACACATTCTGTTCCCATCGAAATTTCATTTGCTACAGCCCGTTTCATTCAGACAGCTTGCGGTGGTGCATCGGCTGTGCAAAGGAATCTGCTACAAATCTCAGGTGGTAGCGTCGGGGTGAACTTCCGATTCACAGCGCAACGGATTCTCATCAAAAGTGACTGGGGGCTCAAGATGAGGTCAAACTTTGCAGCTTGTATAGCCTCTGCCGATGCTTTCAAGCCAATAGCCCAGTGCCTAATCAGTAGCAAAGACTGAGGCAAACACAGCGCTGGTCTCGCCTCCTGCACTCCTTGCAAGGTTCTTCT